CTCGTCAATAAATGAGTACAAAACAGCGTTTCCTAGCACCTGTCGATTACTGATTGTTTGGAATTATAAATATGAGCGTAGTTTATCTGTTAATATTACATGCACTTTTTTTTTGTTTTTTTTTTAGTTTGTTACTCAGACGCAGGCAGTGCGCTGCATGAGACAAAAAAGTAATATAGCCAAAACAACCGCATAGCCGCTTTTTAGTGTAGATGCATGTTGATTTTATCAGACGATGCCGCGATTATAAATGAGAGTGACCCCTGGTTAACATTAAAAGGGGTCGTGTTTAGTCACTATTTAGTGTGGTATTTTTTGACAATATTCACTCATGACAGTAAAATAGGGCATTCTAAGTCAATATACTGCAGTATTTCCTCTCTCAGTCAGTAGAAAATATGGTTAACACCCGGTCATGCATGAAAAAAAAATACCGTCATGTACCGTGAAACCGGTATAATTTTGAAAAATACCGTGATATAAATTTTTGGTCATACCGCCCAGCACTACTACTTACCCAAAACGTTTGAATGGTAGTGTATACTAAATCAATAAATTTTATGCTAATCAATGCAGAAAACATGCTATGGTTTGTTACCCCATTTGTGCAAAAAAAGTTTGAAAGAAAATCTGTGCCTGAAAGCAAAATGAGAGGGAACAGACTGCGAGTCATAGGTTTGCTCTCATAGCTGAGGATTTCAGGTTGTTCGGTTTCATTTCACACGATTATTCACATGGCAGAATGCAAGCTAAAAGTTACAGGGAACTGAAGCAATTCATGTCTACTCTATTTCTGTTGTTTTGCTTTAGGCAGCACAACATGTGGCTCTTACATGGCTTTATCTGAGTCTCGAGTTTAAAGGCACATTAGTGTGCAGAATCAGTTTACTAACATGCTAAGTGACTCACTTGATTCATTCGTTGCCACTCAAGATTGACAGCAAGATGTAGGAAAAGAGAGATGGGAAACAGGGAGAGATGGATAAATGAATGAGAATCATCTGCATTCAGCAGCAGAGAGGAGGAGGATAGAGGGATTGAGTGGGAGGACGAGAGAGGAAGTGAACAGATCCTCCAGACAGAGAGCGAGCATGCGTGGGTGACCTCTTGTGTATCTCTTTACGTCTGTGAAGGGGAAAGAAAGAGGTGGAAGGAGCCAAGATAACTGCTTAAAGATATTGTGCATGTATAAAAGCAAGTTTGATGTGACAGCACATGTATGTCTGCGTGTGTGAGCAGTTTATACAAAGGCGGCTAAAAGCAGCATGTCTGTCTGAGCTCAGGATGTGTTCAGGGTTCTGCGTGTGTCATGAATGTAGAACACAGAGCAGATGAAAAGCGCTTTGATGTCCATTTGCACAGGTGTCAGAGACAATCATCTAAATGCATTCTCCTCTTCATCCAGAAACACTGAGATGGAGAGAGAGAGTGTGTAATGCAAAGAGGCATAAAGGTTGCAATCAATCCTGTCCAGCTGAGAGGAATTGCAGAAGGAAAAAAGCTCTCAAAAGATCACAGCTGAAGATGTAAACAAAGCATTGCAGAATATGGTAATATACAGACTTGCATATAAGGTGTCTCAAAAAGAAGAAGAAATGTGGATTTGGTACAAGGAATTAGAGTGAAACATGATGCTACAGACATACACGTTTACTTAGATAAATAGTAATACTTCATAGACATTTTAATTTATTTATTTATTTATCCTCTTTTTTTTATTTTTTCAAATGAGGACGTCGCCAAAAGGAGATTTGGTCAAATTTAGCTGGCTTTTGGTACAAATTTGTCCCCAGAGTAATGTTAAGCAGGGACCGAGAATACATAGAAAACAAAAAAAGGAATATTTTTCTTTAGGATGCACGATATTGATACCATATCAGTTAAATATTAGATATTAGATATTTTAAGTTGCTGTAATCAAATGACATTGCTTTTAGGAGCGATATGAAGATATTTTAAGTTATCGGTATCGGCCAATAATTGTATATTTTATTGTTCATGCTCACTTCCTCAAATTTTAACATTTTAATTACCATTCTGATCATCTATTGCTCACTTAAACTTAACTTTACAGTTTAAATTAAAAACACTAATAATTTAATAATTCTATTAAATCTTGAGTGAATCTCAAAATCAATATTTATTTTTTATACATTTTGATGCCTAAATTCACTTGTAGCATTTACAAGTCTTTTTTACTGTTTTATTAAGACAAAATAGCATAGAAAGCCATTTGGTGTTATCAGCATTTGTTGGTTATTGGCCACACGATGAAAGTGTTGTTTTCTATTAATGACAATCAAATTGTATATATATATTTTAACAATAAACAAAAAAGTAACTTATTTATGATTAAAGTAAATGAATTAAAAATAAAATTCTGAATAAACTGATATCGATAACTGCATTTATTTGTAAGATAATTAGACAAAGAATTCTGTTTTCAAACAATTTATCTTGCTCTCTCTCACTCTCTCCAGTCTTTCTGTGTCTCAGGTGGAAAGAAGATTGGGATACTTTGCATAAAATATGAAAGACAAATGTCTCTATTTCAGAGTTAAGACTACTCTTAATCGTGTCATATTCATCCATCTCGCTCCCACTCTCTCTTCTCCTTTATAATCTTATTCATTCTACTCTTCTCCTTCAGTTTCACCTTTTTCTCACCTTCCTTCCAGAGATAGGATTTCACTAATCTTCCCCTTGCTCCCTTCTTTCCTTTACCTTTCATTTAAGCTCTGGAAGGCATCTCTGTAACCCCTTCTATCCTTCTCTCTCCTCACAAATTCCTTCAGTCTCCTACGGCAAGCTCACAGATTTCCTTCTTTCTTTTACCTTTTCTTGCCCTCCTGATCTCTGTGCCTCCAGTCCAGTCGACTTTTTCGGTACAAAAGGTTCATGTCGCCACGGGGATGCTCCTCCTTACAGCCAATAACAGCACAGTGCAGCCACTGGCCCCGCCTCTCTATGGCACGCAGGAAATTCTCCACCACCACATCCTGGGCGGAGTCAGAGCTCATGGTATAGAGGACCAATTAGGAGCCGGGGGAAGGATTTTTTTCCCCCTTCCCAGTTACCTGTAAGAGTGAAATGCAGGCACTTGGTTAGTAATTTGCATTTTCAATAGTATGCAAATTAATTCCATTCTGATAACATAAAATCCCAACCATCCAAACTGAACGGAAATAGTTAACACAGCACAGAAGCTTCACGAAAGTGCTTTACTCAGCGTTCTCTACACCTATACTCTGCATTTCCTAGTGCTGTTCATGTTGTTCTTTTTTGATGTGGAAAAGGGAAGACAGTTTGGACTAAGTGTCCATAATAGAGGCTCTAATGCACAAGTCCCTTCTCCCCCTGGACAAAAAATAAATAATCACCTTAGACTGGCAGAGATAGAGGTAAGCAGCTGTTTACATTCCCTTATGATCATGATAAGTAGGATTACAAGCACATTTCCATTAAAAAATTCATTAGGACTTTCATTTTTTATTGCTTTATAGAAGGTTCAGAGCTCCCACAATTTTTGAACAAACAATTTATAAGACTGACCTTTCTAGTAGTTTGTGATTACTAAAATCTAACTAAAAATAAAAACGAACTAAAATGTAAAAATGATTGCGATTTGTTACTTAAACTACTGAAAATCATTTTTGTTAACTGACATTTTTGTTAAAAAAAACAACTTTAGAAAATTAGAAATGTTGCCTTGGCAACTAACTGAAATAAAATAAGTTGAAATACTAAAATTATTAAAACTGAAATATTAAAAGCTAAAAGAAATATTTAAAAAACTATATAAAACTGACAAAAGCACATCACAAAATTACAAAAAATTTGAACTAAAATTAAAATAAAACCTGAAAATATATAAAAAACTAATGTCAAAATATTAATACTCTACCAGAATATAATACTAAAATAACACTTATTCTCTCACAAATGAGACTTCTATACTACACAAACCATGTCTATACAAACGACAGATGAATCTTTGCCAACATAGAGTTAATTTTCACATTCATATATCACAATATATGATTGCTTGCACTTCTCAGTATATATATATATATATATATATATATACACACTACCGCTCAAAAGTTTGGGATCAGTAAGACTTGTAATGTTTTTTAAAGAAGT